AATATGGAGATTTTGATGAACCATAGCCAAAACTGCGAGCAATCTAGGATTATTATTATTATGAAGTCTATTCCTTCGCCTTTCGCGATGAAGTGGATTATTACGAGATCTCCTTTTAATGTTCATAAGTACGGGCAGTAAGTCTGTAATTTCTACCACATTCACCAAAGGTTATAAGAATATCGACTACTTCTGTAGGCGTATAATTTGCCATTTTACTGACCAGAATTTTATCAGATTACAAATGTTAAAAAAAATACATAAACACTTGTGACTTTGGCATTAAATGGACAAAATTTTGGAGGGATACTTAAAGGAACTCCATCAGATGGAAAATTTAATTTTCGATTTTGAAGGTAAGGTATATGCTAATATCTAAAGAATCACAACAAGAAAATACATATGTAGCATAAAATTTTATTAAAAATCCCCACTTGACCTTGAAACGGTCATGAAAATATGGGTTGAAGGACATTGTCAGGGTCATGGTTTGGTCTCCCCTCGACATCCAACAATTTTTCTCACAAACTATCCGGGAAAAATCAAGATTTTTTGGCTTTCTGCTTCGATTAGGAATTTGTCTTTGAAATGACTTCTATGGTCAACTTTGACCCATAACATGGAAGTTCATCTGGACGTAAAATTTTGCGCTCTTTCAAAATCCGGGATCAAAAATACGGGTTTCTATTTGAAAATTGAAAGTAGACCTTCAAATAACCTTGAAAATGAAGATCAAGGTCATTGTCAAGGTCATAGTTCAATCAGCCCCTTCATATCCAACAATTTTTGTTTTAAACATTTTTTTATTTAATCGCGATGTTTCGAGTTATTTGGCTGTCTAAGTTAAAATGGGTCACCCTGTATAGTCTATTATTGTCCCTTAAGGCCATATTTTACGGAGTCGAACCTGCTCGAATCATTCGAGAAACAGTCGATGATGACATACGTTTGGTGACATCCCCTATTCCAAATTCCTGCACAGTGATTTACTACTAGATGAGCATACCCTTGTATTTATATCATGTCGTTGTCTTAGTTCGAATCTACAATAGGTGTTTTAAGCCTTAAATTATAAGAAATTGACCAATTAAAGTCGAATGTGAGGAGAATAATCGATTGTGATTCGTCCATTTATTATGGTTTATGGCTTAAAAATCTATTGTAGGTCCGGATTTAGCACCGAGACACTACTATATTTTCAGATTACGTTAGCGCTAAGGCAAAAGAAATACGCGTCGACAAAGTAAATTCTATAGAGATGAATGGTTATTAAGGTTATTTTACTTTACAAAATGTAAAAAAATACCTTACAGTACTGTACCGTTACATAATAGAGCTGCCAATTCCATAACATTTACTAGAATTCTAGTTGAGAATGGAAAGTTACTTTTTAAAAGTAATAAGTTACAATTACTTGTTACCGAGTAGGGAAAATAACAAGTTACTGTTACTAGTTACCAATTTTTAAAAGTAGTTACAGTTACCGTTATTCGAGAAAGTAACTTTTTTTCCACGCAAAGCGACTCTCACCTCACTTCCCCCTTGCTTAGGGGCGCACGATTCCATGCGAAGTGTCTCTCACCTCACCTCCCCCACCTGCTTAGGAGTGCACGACTTCCATGCTAAGTAACTCTCACTTCACCTCCCCCCTGCCAGAGTCGCTTCGCGTGGAAAGTTGTAAAGTATACTTTAAAGCAGAAAATTTATCTTTTATGTAATATAGAAAAGAGACATTATTTTTCAAACTTCTTTTGTTAATAACTTTTTAATGAATGACGAGCGACAGCTAAAACCTGGTGGAGGTTACTCAGAGTCATGACCTTGAAAACATATGTCAAGATCAAAGTCATCGAAGCTGACTCCCCTATTCGGCATATTTACCAAAATAACTTGTAGTAACTTCGTTACAAGTAACTTTCATGCGCCCTGATTCTAGCGTATATTACTTTACATTTTTCTTCGTGTGAGATTCTATTCTCGAAAAATATTGCATTCAAATGATTGTTACCTTACAGTAAAGTAAATCGTACTCTATTCTCTGTAACACGAACAAATTTCAACACTTTGCACACTTGTATTTTTTATTGCGTAATAAAGTAAATTTTGTCACCGCTAAGGCAAAAGATACTTGATAAAATAAATTACTGAAGATTCGCGCGAAATATGACGGGTCAAATAACAATCGAATGCCAAACTGTTCAGATAAGCATGCGATTATAGCTCAGTGTTAGCTTGTTAGGCTACCACCCTAAAAATCTTAGATTCAAATTCAGTCGATACCGCATACACAGAGCAAAATTTTAAGTAATATGCGCTATAATTCTAGTAAATTGTGTAGAATTGGTAGGTCCATGTAGGAACAGGGGTCCATTTATGTAAAATTTACTTTATTTTTCTGGTAAATAAGCGATCATTGTATAACCATACTGTAAAGTACTTTTTACATTTCGTAAAGTACAGTTTTACATTATTATGACTAATCGACAATCATTCATTTACTAGAAATGTAAAGAAAATTGTATATAAGTCCCTATACATAAGACTCCTGTCCCTATATTTACTTGAAAATTCCATAAAATTTATTAGAATTCGAGTGTACATTATATTTTTCTTCATGTATGAATAGTTAACTTTGACCGTTACTAATTTAAAAACTATTGCAGCCTTGACATTTTGGTATTAGAATTTTGTCTAATTTTTAAATCAAGAATATGTTATTAAAATTTCGATCGTCTTTTCGCAATTCACGTTATGTCATATGATATCAACATTCACTGGCAGTGATACGGTTTTAAAACAATAACGATCGCCTCCGCTAAATCAGCGTGTTAATATCGTGCATTTTTCATGCATTTATAATTAACATGAAAATGATACTTAATTCGCATTTCCAGTGCATCCTTTTCCAAAAATATCACATGCCTTTATGTGCAAGCTTAATTGCTTTTTCTTAATAAAGCCTAGTATACGCTTACGTTATTGTTAGTTTGCTTATAAGAAGCCGCGCCATGGGTTATCAATTCATTACCATACTTTTTTCTGATAAAAATCTAAACAACATGTATGTCCAAAATCGGAACACAAGACGTTTTACATTCCGATTTTGGATACGTGTGCTGGGTAAATTAGTTTGTGCTGTAATAACGCAACGCAACATTATGGCATGTATCAAAAGTGTCATATTTCTTTTTTCACGTTTATTAATTGTTTAGGTCATATTTACAATTGTTTACCCTACTTATATACAAAAGTCTCAGAATTTAACGAACAAACGAAGTACATTCTATAAGTGGATATAAAAAAATGTTATATGAAGTTTGGCTAGATATCCTTTGTTACAAAGTTGTAAACAAATATTGAAACAGAACAAATGTTGAAATAGGAAACAACAAATTATCTATTGCGCAAAATATGAAAGTGAACATTTCGTGTACGGAAAGATTGAACGTGTTTATCTCATATGTATATTTACATCACGTTTACTATCTTTTAACGATTCAATATTATTTTAACCTGTGTGTGAATATGATATTTGTTCAGCCTTGAAACAACGGCTACACTCGAAAAGAACAGCTATTAAATAAATTTCCATCGTCGCATGAAATAGTAACTGCCATTAAAATACCACAAATGTTTAATTTCAAAATTTATTTATAACTTAGTAATAAAGCATTTCTAACCAAACTTCATACATCTTTTTTTCTTATTTCCACTGTATAGAATATGATCTCGCAGATTATCTGTTAAATCCTGACACACCCTGTACATAAAAATGATAAAAGGATCAATAAACAATACGATAGAGAGAATGTGAAAAATCGAAGCTCACAATGGATACGTGGAAATTTTCGAAAAAAGGGGGAGATCTAAAAAGAGAAAAGATGAGAAGGAGGATGAATCAAAAGGGTAGATTATTGTTTAAGTTTATAATATATTATAAAATATTGGATTGTTCCAATATTTTACAACGTATTGGATTGTTTTAGAAAGTTCGTGCGATTTTCTTTAATTCAAAATTATACATAGAAAAAATATGTTGCAAAATTTTCGACCTATCATAAAAGCTTGAAATTTTTTCTACAAAATCGTTTTTTAAAAATGTTGCTACGATTTTTTCTTCTTGAGTTACTCGCGAATTAAATAAAAAGGACCATTGTGACTTGGATTGCTCATAATTCTATTAAAAATCATCATATCGTAATTAAAGAAACAGATTTTTAAAGCTGAAACTTTACTTTATCGAATAATACAATTGCTAATTTTTTAAATGTAAAATATATATAAATTTGAGACAAATGTTACATTACTATTCTTTTAAACATTGCGCAATGCTAAAAATGTGACATTACTATCCTTCTAAGCATTGTGCAATGGTTACAAGAAAAGTAATGTTATATTTTTAAATTCATATATATTCAAATTTATATATATTATATTTTTTTTAATTGGCAATTATATCATTTGTGTGATAGAGGAAAGTTTCAGCTTCAAGAATCTGTTCCTTTAATTGTAGTACGATTTTTAACAGAGTTACGAACAATCCAAATCACAATGCTCCTTTTTAATTTGCAAGTAATTTAAGAACAAAAAGTAGAAATATTTTTAAAAATGATTTTGTAGGGATAAGTTTTTACGACAGGTAGTCAAAAATATTTTTTGCAAATTTTTTTAGCACACGACAGATTCATAAAGTAAGAAAAAAATTTTCCATCTTTTTTAATTCGTAGTTTTCTGAATGTAAAAATTACCAACCTCACAGAGACTCAAAAACATAGTAACCTTTTGAAAAAGTAGAGATTTCAAGCTTTAAAATCCCTTTTTTTAATTTAAATTTCATTTACTTTTAACGAAGATATTGTATATACAATTTTGAGTTTAAAAAAATTACACGAACTTTCTGGACAATCCAATATATAATATTATAAATAATATATTATAAAAAGAATTTATAATTAAAAATATAAGTGTCTTCTATGGAGACCCTGTCGTAGGGTAAAAAGAAGAGGGAAGGCGGAACTACTGGTGGTACTACTGGACCGAACGAAATCATTGCTTGCACTAACTGCGGACCTAATCCCTGCACACATACGACAACAAACGGTTGCACCGCCGAGGTAAGCAAGTTATTATATGTACAAGTATAACAGTATATTATGTAAAATATCATTGTATTCCTTTCTTGAGAAATATAAAAATGTATTTGGAATGTAAATAAACTTTAATTAATTAAACAATAAAGAATAAAAGTAAAGACCATAACGGTCAAAACTAGATCTTCAATGCTTAAATAATTCAATCTGAATAGCATATACTATACACTATATTGTATATACATACACTATGCAACAAAATTATTGCAACAAAATTTTTCATCGAAATTTTGCTATTTTTCAAATGCGCATAACTCGGTCAATTTTCGTATCAAGACGACTTTTTTTTTCATTTTGTAGATAATTATCTGTACTTTAAGAAAAACTTGGTGCGAAATTAGGTGCAAGTCGATGCCGCATCTCCATGTTTTGATAAAGCCCAAGCATTTTTTTTCTTAAAAAATTTGATTGTTTGACGCACTACCTGGATCGCCCCGATTTTTTTTCGAAAATACCACATAGGCCATTGTAGAGTGCACTTTTCAACAAACAATTTGAAAAAAAATTCGAGTCTCTACAACTTTTTTTGACCGAGTAATGCCATTTTGAAGTTATTCGGGCGTTTTTAACGAATATCGCGATAGAGTGAAATGTCGAAACCTCATTATGGGGAAGGATCCGTATTGAACATTAATTTTATTATGCAGAGTGAATACTAATAAAAAAATACAGAAAAGCACAGGATATTTTATTTTCCTACTAAAAATGCCTCGGCTTACTGAAATTCAATCTGCTCAAATTGTGACCCTGCTAGAAGCGGGATTGAGTCAGAGCGCCATAGCAATAAGAATGGGTATTAATCGCTCAACGGTATCGCGTGTTTTTAGTCGGTACCAAGAAACAGATTCTTATCGTCGGAGGCCTGGTCAAGGTCGACCTAGGGTAACTACGAATCGGGAGGATTGCAACATTGTCAATGAAGCTCTGCGCGTCCTAACAAGGATTGGGCGACAAATCGGGAACGAAGCTTTACCAGGCAAACGAATTAGTACTCAAACGATAAGAAGACGCCTTCACGAAAAAGGTTTAAAATCACGAATTCGTGCTAGAGTGCCCATGTTGACAACAGTGCATCGGCGAACTCGTTTACGTTACGCCTGTAATCATCGAAACTGGACGGCCAGACAGTGGAGAAATGTGTTCTTTACAGACGAATCTCGATTTTGTCTGTTTGGCAATGATGCTAGGATCCGAATTTGGCGACGTAGACGAGAGCGTTTTGAAGCGAATCATGTTGATCCAACTTGAACGTTCGGTGGAGGATCCGTTATGGTAGGGGGTGACATACCAATGAACCATCGAACAGATCTAGTGATTCTCCAACTCCCAGGATTCA